GGCATAAAAACAAGATCGTGTCGTAGCACATATTGTCCAGAGACCACCAGGTGTGAAAGCAGAATGGCTGGCTACTAAATTCCCTCTCTGCTCTGTGTAGGGGGGGAGAGATGGGACATTGTTTGTGATTTCTATCTGTGCAAAATATGCTAAAAGCCTTCTCTTGCTGATATTAAATTGACCTCAAACTTCCTAAGGGGAGCACTAATAATAAGCAGGCAAGCCAGAGAAATCTGTTTGCCCTCACCCACACTGGTAAAGGAGATTTAATTGTGAAACCCCCAAAGCAGTGCTGGCTGGGATACAAGAGAGTCATCTGTTACAGAGAACCAAGGTAAAGGCCAAAACGGTAATACAAACATTTGGTGGTTTAGGGGGAAAATTCAGAAAGCTGGAAAGAGTGAGAAACTGAAACATGTCCTTTTGGAGATTATATCTCTGCAATGCTCAAGAAAATTTCTTTTTAAAAGAAGGAAAAAAAAAAAAAAAAGAAAGACGTTGCACTGTAGTCTTGGTTGGAGAGCTAACAAGAAAAAGAACAATTTAATGACCAAAGGCATGTAAATTAATAAGTAGGAAAAAAGTGCTAAAATTGCCAGAAATGCAAAATCAGAAACATAAAGCTGGTAAAGATTGTAAAAGATGAGACCTGCAGTCAGAAATGCTGAGTGACAAAGATTTGTCTAATTTTAATATAAATTTGAAACAAAAGAATTGTTGCTATTCTACTGCTATGTGAAAAAATTTGACTAATCAAGTGGAGTGCAAAAGAAACACTGATGTTCAATAAATATTTCTGTTCTGTTTTGGGGTGAAAAACAGACGATAAAGCCATGTTCCAGATTGGTAATAAAATACTTTCTGTACCGATGCAAGCCTGAGAATGTAAAATAAGAGCAGGTCCAGTTAAAGAACTCAAAATCAGCAGCTCTGGATAAACATTCATCCAACAGTTTTTAATATTATTTTCCCAATCAGTTGGTCAGGAGATGCTGTGGAGGTTGCAGACGACTCGATGAATTAACATGTGTGGGTTTTCATTGATTTCGTTGGTTTATAAAGAGAGAACAGCCCTGATTCCAGAAACAGGGATGGAAAAGCTGGTAATGAAAAGGAGAGTAGCATGACCAATACCACCTGACCAACTTGACACAGGTTGGTGGAAAATGTATTTTAGATAAATGTACAAGTTTGGTGAGTAAAGGAAGTAATGTTATAATGGAATAATACTTAACATTTCCATAGAATATTTGGATTGGTATGACCTGATATTTCCATGAAGGATGCTTGTGTAGAATTAGCACATTATGCTTTAAAAGAATTAGGCATTGACTAATTGATTTCAAAATGTCCTTTTAATGTGTAATTTTCATGGAGGACATATTAATTTAAACACAGATTAGGCTTTAGCAATTTAAAAATTTTTCAGAGACCTACAAGAGGATATAATATCATCACTGCTCAATTTTTTAGATAACATACAGATTGGGAGAATGTTCAGTGATAGTGACCTGTCTTCAGAATTTATCAATCTCTGAGCAAGCTGGGCTTTAGCCAACAATACCTGTTTTAATATAGCTCCCATAAAATGACACATCTAGGAACAAGGACTGTAGAACTTTGCAGGATGTGCAGCTCCCTCCTGGGGAGTCATTACTTCACAAAGCTCTGGAGATCAGATGGAGTTGTTAGCTAATCTTGTCTCATCCGTGAGTTTGTGCTGCTGCCCACAGGTTTGGAGCAGAGAGCGGCGTCACCCTCTTTTGGCAAGTCTGAGCTATGAGCATGGGGAGTGAACTGAGCACCAGCACAGGCTCAAGCACGTGTTTGATACTGCAGGAATGCCCTCTGTGGGCACGGCTGGTGGTGTAAAAACTGGGGCAACAAATTACCTCTGCAATTAACACTTTTACTGTAGCTTTCCTTGGCCCAGCACTGGTGTTCACAATTTATGGGACTATTAGGTAACTATGGAAAGCCTTTGGAAGAGCAGAAAAAAGAACAAGGTGGGCAAAAGACCCCAAATGATCAATGTTCAAGAAACTCTTATACTCCAGGAGACTGGGCATAGCAGGAACTCATGTTTCATAAAGCACTTATTGAATATTAGGTCTAGCAGCTAGAAGACAAAGCTAAACACACTCTGATTGTGTACAGTAAAACAATTTTTCCTACAGGTAATAGTCACTGGAATAATCCGCCAAGGGCTGCAAGGGGATTTCCCAGAACATGCAATCTCTTGTTATTCCTAAAGAGGAGTTCTACCTCAAACACAAATTAAATAAGGGAAGTCCGACAGTTTCTGTTACCCAAGGCCAAGAGAGATTATCATTAGTCTCTTCTGGCCTTGCAACTTATAAATAGAGTCCTGGTGGAAAAAAAGGAATTATCCTAATCTTGGACTTTCTCAAAACACTGTGGATAAAAGAGTAAGAATGCAGAAAGATCAGAAACAGTCACTTTGCAAACAGTTGTGCCTAGTTTGATATTTCTGCTGAGAAGACCAATAAATTTTGTTATTCCAGTATGTGTTTTAAGCTCTTCCTTCTCCCTGCCAGAGCTCAGCCATACCCAATACACCGATTTCCAGGGCTGCTAACTAGTCAACATTTAATAATCATAGCAAAGCCTAGGTTTGAAGTCGATGGGAGTTTTGCCATTCTCATCTAATGGGTGGATCAAACCAGATCTTTGCAATTTAAGGACACACCTCAAATTCTCTGTCCAATGCTAAGTGAAACTCAGGGGAATTATGCCACACACACACACAACTGCCGAGCCTGGTTGAAGCAGCAGATGTTTCTCATATCCCATGTCCAGTACTGTTTTATTTAGGCAATATTTAGAAGGAATTCTACCTACATGATGTGAGTCACTGCACAGCTACTGTAAAAACACCATACCAGCCACGGACACAAATGTATTCTGTAGTGCTGTGCTGGCTTTTTTTGTTCTTTGGAAAAAGAGAGTGCTTCACACAGAACGTATCTTCCTACAATTTTTGTTTTGTTTTGTTTAAAGAAAATAGAAACTCCTGTCTGTCAGTTTCTGGGAGTGCTCTGCATGTATGAAGCAAGTGACACGCGAGCAAGTGACACTGATTTGACCTTTGGCTTGAAACATACAGTGAAACAGCCTTTAGGTTAGATCAGTCCCCTCCTTTACAACTTCCTGAGATAATACAAGTATGTAAAATGGAATTGTATTTCAATGCAAAAAGTCTAGTCTGAGCCTTGTACTCAGAGCAACACTAGATTCGCATCAACTATTCCATCAGTACCAGCCCCTTTTACCTTGAACCTGCTGTCCATCTCTGCTGTGAGCATGGCAGAGCAGGGTTTAATGTGCTCTTTCATCACTAGAAAACTTGAAGTCACAGCATTCAGAATCCAGTGGGAAAGCAGGACACCCCAGATCCTGCCTGGTCTTTGGTGTGTAGCAGGGATATGAAGTAGTGCAGTTTCTGTCAGGCCTGCCTCTCCACGAGCGTGTGCTAACTAGTAGGCTGTGGGGTTTTCTGAAACTTAAGATGTCTCTGTTACTCCTGGAATTTTTGTTTTGATGTGTGTTTTTTGGTTTGGGGCTTGGGTTGGTTTTTTTTTTTAATTTAATAATATCTTAATTCTAAACCACAAAGAAAAATTACTCTCAAGCCTGCTGGACAGAACAACTACCTCGGAAGTGTCTGGGAGGACAGATACTTGAACTTCTGCTCCAATAAAGGTATTTAAATAGATCTTTAAAATACAGACAAATGTTCCCAAGAGACGTATCTAGAATATTCTCTCAGCATGAATACTTGTAGCTTATTCTTTGGAGAACAAAATGTTAGTTGAAGTCCTCCCAGCAGGTGACTTGGAACTACAGGGTCTTGCATTTCACATGAATGCCTGAAGGGCTGAGAGTTAGGATGAAACAGGAAATGCTAGAATAGGAGAAGGAATGAAATTGTCAGATTTGTCAGTAGACCTCAACAGAAAATACATTGGTGAGGGAGTTCCTCCTGGAGAAAACAATGATTTCTTATCAAATCCACAAATAATTTTGAGCTGTTTTTTCAGTAAGTATTCTAAAAGACCTGCCCAGTTGCAAATTAGTGTCTCCCAGGCTTCAGGAAGCAGGAACCTCTGCTGTTGGCAACAGGCTCCTACTGTCTCCCACTGCTGTACTCATGAATTCAGGGACAATACTTGCACTAATTTTAGAAGCACAGTCAGGCTCTTTGGACAAACCATGGAAGTCCTGTTAGAAGAAGTGAGCATCAAAGAATTTAGCTAATCAATATGCACCCATAAATGATTATGAAAGATACATTTCTGAGGACTTCCACATCCATATACTTTTCAGAAGAAAAAAGATTTGCATTTCAGAAATATGGTCCAGATTAGATCTCTGTTTCCATAGGCTATATGTAATTTTCCTGAAAACAAAGGCAAAGGAGAAACGGAAAAGATGTACAGATTCCTGAGGAGTGTTTTCCTGTCTGAGGCATAAAAAGGTCCATGTTTTCAAATGAAAAACATCATCATTTAATACTGCTCCATAAGAAGACAAGTACAATTTGTGTTGGCAGCCCTGGCAAAATTGTCATATATCATGATACAAATATCCTAGGCATAATCAAAACAGGAAAGGTTCATATATGTACCTTTTGTATTAAATTAATATGATTTCATGAAAGCAGTGCTTGTGTAGACACCTACAGTTTGACTGTTCTGGCTGAGATGGGTAACAGGCTACTCAGCAACACAAGCAAGGCCTTCTAATTACATTTAATTCTTTAAATGTAAAGAATTTAATCTTTAACTTAATCTTTAAATGTAATTCTTTAAATGCCCTTTAAATCAAAACTATATTGTACCCTTTTAATTACAAAGTAAGACAGTTAAAATACGATGTGCTTCAAAAACCTGCCCGGTGGAACCACAAAATTTTAATGTGTAAAGCATTTTAAAGCACTTAAAACATTCAGAAGGAAAAAAAAAACTCAACAGAACAAGCTGTTTAAGAAAATGTTTTAATTTTTCTTACTTTCTAGTAGCCATTTTCTCATGTGTCTGCTTAAATTCTAAACCAGCAATACAGTTTCCCCTCTAGCCTTTTTGTCTGGAAGAAAAACAAAGTCAAGGAAAAATCTTGGAAAAGAAAAGCTTGAGAAGGTACCATTATTCTAAATAGGCTGTATTATTATTGCTGAAGTAAGATAATGAAACACTCAGGGTTGGAGGAACAGAGGCTGGCAGTTTGCACTAGGCATTTCCTCTCGGGTTTTGTTCTTCCTGCACACGACGTGCCCCCTTGTGGGGTGAGGCTCAGGCCCACAAACCACTGGCCTTCCATGGCAGGTTTTTATTGGGCAAAAGAGACAGTTGTCACAAAACAGCTCTTTGCTTCCAAATTTCTCACTTTTCAGGCCCTCCTTAGATATGTGGTGCAGAGTGTGCTTGGCATGGATCTCTCCTTTGGGTTGTGGGTAGGATGAAGGAAAGCAGCAAGCTGTAAGGCTCCTGAAGAGATGACACCAGGTGACTAACACTGTAAAAATAGTGTGGAACTGGTTCCTTCAGCCATGTGAAAGAGATAAGTTTTAGCACCCTCGTGGAGCAGAGGAAAGCTGCCTTAAAGAAAGCACTGCATGAAAGTTTGCTTGTGACAAGAGTAAGAGGATGGATCCTCTTACTAATCCCCTGGATATAAAGGACATCCTACAAGCCACAGGCATGATCACTGTAGGAATCTCTGCACTGAACTATTGGCAGGCTCTTAACTCATGTCAACTCATGCTGTGGTAACACTGAAATAGTTCTGAAAATATCTTCAGGCTCATATTAAAACCCTTTTTGTCTTTTCTTGTAGTATTGATCTGGCCATCACAACCACAGTGTAGTTACCTGTATGATGTCCTTGCCCATACCTTAAATTAACTTTATTTATTAAAAATAGTCACTTCAAAATGCCAAAAATTCAGGTAATGTGGATCATAAACATCCACTTAACTGTTTTCATCATGACAGATCTTCAAGTAGTGTAGCAACTCCACTGGAGTTATGAAAACCGAGGCTATTATATCGCATTCAGTGTGAACACAGGGTGAAGAATACCAAACAATGATACCTTGTGATTATTAAACACAGGGTGATAGTCTTCTTCCTCCCTTCAATACAGAAAGCATATTGATTTTCACATATGAGAGGTAAGCAAATGAACTGTTTCCCCAAAACATGTAATAGGCTGATGAAACTAACAAATGATCTTTTGTTAGAAGTACAAGATAAACACAAGCACATTAAAGCACAGCGTCTGGTAAAGTGACAGGAGGCTGCTCCACTCTGCTACAGAAAAGACAGAGAAGGGGCACCCAAAGTGCAACATAAATGGACAGGAAGGAAGATGTCAAGGAAAGAGAAGGGAGGAAGTCTGTGCTAACAATGCTTCTATCTGAGATATTAGTGTAAGACACGACAAAATAAACACGGTAATTTCTAGATTTGCCTAACATACAATAATCTCTCTTGCAGCAGGTTCTTTCTGTCTCAAATTCTAGATCCCAAGGATCCTCCCTTAGAAAACTGTTAATCACTTCTGGGAGAAAGGATTATTCTACACTAGTTTGTTCCTTATACCTCAGTAGACACCAGAGTCCCATTTCTTATCACTGTGGATACATCTGTCTGCTGCGCTGCTCCAGACATAAGCAAACTGGAGCAAACTGGAATTGGAGTATGCAGTAAGCTGGCTTCTGGGTACTGACCCTCACAGCACTCTACAGCAACATTCTCTCCACTTTCACTGGTGTGGAATCTTCTCTTGAAATGAGGAACTACACAGCACATCAAATAAAACTTGAAAAATGAGTGAGTTGTCTTGAGACAATAGACATGCTTCTGACTTTGTGATTTCTATTTCCTTTCAGTTCCATGTAAGACGATTCAGCACTTGAAATACCTGAGAACTGTAAAAGCATTGCAATGTTCATGTCTCTTGCAGATGACTAACGAAATAAGAATTTTAAAGTCAGTTCTTGGAAGGATTCTGCTCTCTTGTTCAATTATTACATAACAAATTGTACACAAATGCTATTAGCTTTGTGTCAGAAATAAATTTGGGTAGAATCTCAAGCCTTCCACTGAATCATCTCTGCAAAGATGGCCCATCTTTTCAGCAAGAAGCAGCCTAGAGAAAGCAAAAGAAGATGCCCTGTATTACTTGAGGACAACATGATAACTAAAGTATTAAACACAACAATTATTACCTACCTTTCTTTGGCTAAGAGAACAGACATCCCCACCAGCTTAGCAAACTCATCAGCTGTGAGAGATCCCTTTTCAGATACCTATCAAAAAACAAATACACAAATAAACAAACCATGGAATTAGAAGAACAACAAAGTTCTTTCAGCTACTGAATCAGGTCTAGCCTTGTGAAGTGATAAATTGGTAGACAATCCCTTGAGAAGGGAATTAATTTGTTTGCTTTTTTACAAGTACAACTAATCATGAGTATTTCCCCTTAAAAATTAATTAATCTCTTCAGTGTCTTGGGAAAACTCCTGAGTATAAAAAAGCAAGAGAGAAAAGAGTTAAATCTGTAGAAATATCATACAGTACCCATTCCTTTGGAATTTTCTTTTAAAGATCCCTTGGAATTAAATGAACTGAAAAATTGGAATAGCTCAGACAGCAGAATACAGTCTCTATCAGTATTTACACAGCAGAACTATTCTAAGTGATTCTGCAAACACTGAAGCCTAGACAGGGGAATCAGAGACCTGTTGAGGGCAGGTCATCAATGTAGAAATATGTCATCTCAGGTGGAAGAGAAGAATTTGAGTTTTATGGCATTTAAAATACACCCACTGCCTACAGGAAAATCCCCAAACTTCAGTACTTCACATGACATTATGGCATACTAGAGGAGTAACTAAAAGCCACCATCACATTCAGCTGACACAAAAGTTCATTTTTGGGACTCAAAAATTTGGCCCTTTTGTCTCAATCATGCTAATTAATAAAATTAAGCCTTCTCACACACATGGGACATGTGAATGTTCAAAATACCATATAAATACTACATAAGAAGTCTAAATTTATTATTGCCTTGAATTTTCCAGATAAACATGTTTTATTCCCTAAAAATTAATTATCCTTCCATTTCTCCATTGCTTTAGATTCAAGCAAAGTTGTAAATCCGGATATAGTTGCCATTTCCTGCTTCCCACATAACTGGGTGGGGAGGGGTCTATTTTGCATCATTCTCAGCAGTAGTCCTTTTACAGAAACTTAGATTAAATCAGTCCTAACATGAGATTTTCAGATGCTAAGAGATCAAATCTGATAATGGATGTCAGCTATACAATTGGTGATTAATTATCTTTCCTCCCCAAACCACTATGCTCATCAAGGATGATGTTGGATTCCTTTGATGTCCGTGTCATTTCCTGTCTTCACCAGCCATTCAAAACCACATCTCTCTCCTGCCTGAAACCCTATGGCTTCCTTTCACTTCTCAGAAGTTAATGCATAATGTAGAGTAACATTAAAGTATGGGTGCTTTTGGCCACAAGTCTGATCTCATCTTCCCTTTTCCATACAAGCTAGTCTTCCTCTGTTGAAGCCTCTCCCTTCCATTCTTCTATGGAGCTGAAGTTTCATGTTATGAAATAACAGAAAAAAGGCATCTTGGTAATAAATCCACCATCTGGTACTTTTTGAAGTTGACTTCCTTTGTTATCAAGAAAGGTTTTTCCTTTTTTTTCAAAGACATAAGCACTCTTACTGAAGACAAAAAAATCATTAAAAACCAAAAATAATCAGAAAAAAGCCTTATAATGGTCTTAGTATTTTTCTACACATTTAAGAAAAGAAACTGAAAATATTAACATATACTGAAAGATTTAAGCATTTTAATGTTGTTGATTTAGAATGGAATATTTTAAATCACTGTAAACATTTATCTATTTCTCTTATCTAAAAGTTTTTCTGATGAGCAAAAGCTTTATGGTGACAATCATGCAAAACACACTGAACAGTCTACCTTGTGTCAAGTGAGGAGGTGTCCGTGATAGCTCTACTTTTTCTCAACTGCCCCCTCTTTGACTTTGACATTTAACTTTGGATACGCTGGATCAGCCTTTTCTCAAATGTATGAAAATCAAAAAATTACATTCCACTCAGAAAGACATGGAAAAATGTAACAAATTATAGGGTAACAGGACTGTAAAGCGTCCAGAGGCAGCACAACCACAAAGGTTAATGACACTGAGCAATTCATACTATTATTTTCCCTGATGAAACTGGCTTAATTCTATACACACTACTCTCCCACTGAGTGCTCTTCACAGCAGCAAACTTGGTACACATACAAGGTATCACTCTATGAAATAAACCCAAACCAAACAACTACCTACATCAACATTTAAGGGCTGTTTCCACTGCCTTCAAGCAGTACGGTGTCTGAAGTTCACTTCTGTTAAATTAGGTGCTCAATAAATGCCATGAATTTCAGTCTACAGTGGAAAAGATTTGGAGGAAGGCTGAAGGTTAATGAAGTTTGAAAAGAGACAGAAAAGTGATTTATTCCTTAAAGAGAAAGTAATGACTAAGATTATTGCCTGCACAGAACTTTGAAGTTGAGGAGTGTTATTTAAATATTTCTTTTAGAAGATACGAAGTGGAATGCTTTGTATTTTGAAACCTCAAGAGGAAATCCCATACCTCAAGTTTTTTACCTAATGTGTTTAAATTTCCCTAGCATGGTCAGAACACTGAAGGAAATGAAGTACACTTACTGTCTCTAAAGCAGCAGCTACCATTTCCTCTTCGTTATGAGACTGGAGTTCAATCACCATGACACCACTATCAAATATCCGAAGCCTAAAATCAAAAAAGAGAGGCAAAGTAACTAAAAACCTTCTGCACATCACTTATGGTCTTGTTTCTAATGGTCCACAACTATAACCACTTTACAAAAGGGGAAAAAATCCCCCCAAACCCAAGAAAGCTCTCTAAGATGAACTTAAGCTTAACAGCATATTCAAAATCTGAAGAGACAGATAAAAGCAGGGCATATGTCTGGTCTTGGTTAAACCCTTTTCCAGCCTGAAAAAATTCTAAGTGGAAAAATAACATCTTCCTAGCTAAAAATTAATGTTTTAATGTAGAGTGGATGTCAGTGCATAGAGCAGCATCCTTTAAGCCAATAATGATTTTGTTAAAGTACCCACAACAACACCAAAAAATTCTACTTCAAGTAAAAACTAAATCATCATGGTCTGACCTGTGAGTGCCATGCTTTATAAATAAATCCGTAAAGCTCTTACCTTAGTGGTAATTTCAGTGATTCCAGCATTTTACAAGCATTTACTAAATCTTCTGGTGACAGCAACTATTAAAATAGTAAAACATATTTATTTACAGCTTGCATTTCAGGTGTATAGTAAACATCAAAACAAACAAATTTTTAGTAGCTGAAGCTATACAATACACTAGGCTACACTTATTGTTAATTCTTTTTCCTTTCTATTGTGCAGTCTGTTTTCTTGGCTTCTATGCTCCTTTCTGTTCTCTTTCTATGTATTCTATAATAATCTTCCTTGCCTTGTTTACAGAAAGAATTGCTGTATTTTGTTTAAAAAATTTCCCATAACATTCACTATTTTTAGTAGCCTCTGACCTTTAAGTTTTGTTTCCAGATAAGTATGGATTTTCCCTTTTACATGATATCATAAAAAGCAGCATACATTATTACTACTTGTAAAAGATATATAAGTATTATAAGGAAAAATGAGAATGAGAAAGGTAAAACTCCTCTAATTTTAATAAAGAGCTGATCACATTGCATTGTAGACAAGTAGAATGAGCCATTGGTAGGGAACATTTTACCCTTTAATGTCCTTAAGACTGAAGTCCTGTCCTACCACTGTGACCCAGAGCAGTGTCTCACCTCCAGCCCTCGAGCACGATTCACCAGGCAGTACACTTCTGTCAGAGACATGATCCCCCCTCGCTCCTGTGTTAACGAGCACAAGACTGGTGAGAGAAACAGCCCAGGAACCTCATAATCTCTACTTGCAGGTGCTGATTAAACAGGTGAGACAGAGGGGCTAAATGATGGGCCCTAATGGGAAAAAACTAAAGAGGCAAGTTGTACCTTTCACTAACAATTTTAAAATGCAAAATAGCGACACGCCACCCAAGGACTGTGAATTACTTTGATTTTAAACCAGAGAATAAATCATAGGAACAAGGAATTTCAATATATTAAATCTATCAATCAATTTACTGGTTTTACTTTTCAGAAAAACTCGGTTTTCTATTCTGATCACAGTAAGTAGCACATACCTTTCACAAAAATACTGTAGTATTTATGCTTTTTAGGAAGAACATAGCCTTATAAGTTGCAATATGAAATTTAACTGTTTGGTGAGAAACCTGTAATCTATAATATCTTAAGATAAATTAAAACAGGAGATATTACTATGGACTGGTAATCTACTCAATAATTCTGTCCTATATTTTCAAAATGTATAAATTTTAAGCAGTTTAAAAAGATTCATTACTTTTATTTTCAGTCAGTGTCATTTCACTCTTTCTTTAAAAAAATGAAATATTCTGCAGCAAGGGATGAATAAAGAGCTGTTCAAATACAAGAAAAACCACTTGAATAATTTTCTAAATCTCATCAACATTTTGCAAATCAAAAGTTGATGCCATTAGTCCTAAGAAAAATTTGTACTGAACTTTTTTATTCAAAAAGGCAAAATATATTCCTCCCATTAACAGTGAGTAGGAGGCTGTGCTGCTAAATCTGCTTTAGAAAGAGGCAGACTACTACAGCCAAAACACACATCAAAATTCAGCAACACATGGAAAATGCTGGTGCAAGATGTGGTGCATTACCTCTAGGGGTGCCTGCAGGATTCCAGCCAGTTGCTTTGCCAGTTGCATGTGGTACTGTGTACCAGATCCATATGTTTCCCTTGTAACTGGATTAGCTATACCCATACTCAGTAGGTAGGACTTGAACTTAATGGTCTGAACAAGCAAACAAACAAAAAAATTTAAAAGTACAGCAGCTAATGAGTGATTCTGGTCTTTAAAAATCTTTGATTTTATTACTATAACAATGTTTTGGTGAATAAATCCCTCAGTTTATTACCAATGAAGTTAATTACTAGGCAAAGAGAAGGCAGAACTTTGTACCATTTATTTTGACGAGCACAGGTAAAGAAAGAGAAAAATTTATACAAAAGCAGCTAAATCACTGTTTTTAAAAAGGGTTAAAGAAAAATTAACACTAAGCAAGTAAACTCTACACCAAGTATAAGGGACTAAACACAACAAAACCAACCAGTAAGGGTTTTTATCAACACTACATTATTAAACAGATAGCTTTTTGCTTTTCATAGGAACATTTTTGTAGAATTTAAAAAATAAATTAATTTACCTCATCCTCAGTGATGTCACCTTGTTTTTCTTTAATCTTGTTGGCTATTGACTTGGATAATTCCACCATTTCCTTAGCCTACCAAGAAACATACACAGATAAGTCAACTTCCAGCACAAGAGAAAAAAGTGTGCTTAAAACTGAGAAAACGAGTGTAAGTCTACTTGGCCAAGTGACACGTGCCATTCATCCATACCTTCTCCATTAGTTTGCTAAGGTCTTCAAAAGCCTGAAATGAAAAGCAGACAATGCAGATCAGTATAATTACAGCATTCAGTTTTATGGACACAGGGAGATGCCTTTGTCCATCTACCCAAGCTACTGATAAGAGCTGTTGCTCCTTTAGATGAGTGTGTTACAATATGAGATACCATGCCTTATTTGTTGATAAAACTGTTTTACAGCATGTCTTATAATTGAAACAAACAACAAAGAGAATCAAACAACCACATACTTTCCCAGTATATGAGCAGAATTTCAGTATGATTTATGATGTCCATGTGATAGGAAGGGATAATGAGATACTGAGTCCAAGAAAAGATTAAACTCTCCAAATTTATTATGCTCTCTGTAAGGTGGAGGAAGGTTTCTGGGTGGTGATGGTAGGTTTTGTTCCAAGAATTAACCGTCTCTCAAGGAGATCTGTTGTTTCTGGCCAGCTGCAAGACAGCTGTAAAGCTATAGATGGTACTTCTCCTGACAAAACAACTTAAATCAGTGAATGTTACTTAATTAGTAAGAAACACTCATTTCAAATGAGCAAGAAAGAGGATATCTGAGGGATAAAACCTCTGAAATGTGTGGCAACATCTCATCATTAAAGTACTCCAATAAAATGCTACAGTCTCAAATACAACAACTCTACAACAACCCACAAAGGGTTTTTAGGCTTAAATAAATCATACTTTAAAAACAGCTGAAGGTGTACTGAAATTCCAAACTTTTATTAATGATAAACTAGTATTAAAAAAAAATCATGTTAAAAAAAAAAGAGAGCTAGCAACTCCATTAATGTAACTGTATTAAAAAGCAACTCTCTTTTCTCCCACCCTCATCAACACACATTCATTCAGTCTCCTCATTACTCTCAAATACATGACAACATGTCCAGATGATCAACCTTTCCAAATAACCTTTTTTTGGTATGAGAAAAATTCCTGAACCTTTTCATCTAAAGTTTGCCTGACTTTGCAGCACAGGAGCCCTCCAGCCACAAGTAAAGAATGTTCAGTTACACTGTCAAATAGCCAGAAACATCTTGCCTACAGCTTCTAGCTACTGCCTCTATGTCATTTCTGCCTTACTCTGAATAATCCCCCACTAGAAAGACACACTTCAGCAGGGTTTTTGCAGGAAGACCCTGTTGTTCCCATATACTTTTAGATGTCTTATGAAGAAGGTTATTGGTCAGAGATTCAATGTGCAAAGAACAAAAGGAGATACCTCTAAAGAGAGACAAGGTTTGCTTTTCACCTCCTGATAGTGCCAGTGTTTCTCCAGTGACTGGACAAGTTTAGCCCCTAACACTTGGCACCTGAGTTAGATATCCAAAATTAGGGGGTCCACAGGGAGAAAAGAAAATATGTCAGTGTATAACAATAATTTACCACTCAGAAAACAAAAGCTTCTATCAGAATACTTCTTCTTACTCCCTAATCTGCCAAACTGAATAATTTACAATAGATTTCCCAATCTCTAGTGTAAATCAAAGTCCTGCTACTCTACTTGTATATGATATCAACACTAAGTTTTCTGACAGGGCTTTTCCCAGCTTGTTTCTAATCTCTATACCTGCATGAAAACAACATTCATCAAAAGAACCCCTGATTTAGCTAAATAAACAGTATGCTATGTCTAACTCCTCCTCTGCCTGACTCACCCAGGGCAGGCCTGGAAACAAAGGGGAATGTGCACACACCTAACAGGAACTTCCTCAGATAAACAAAAGGCTAAAGAACTGGATTCTTATCAGCACTGAACAGCAGATGCAGGAAGCCTTTTCCTGGAAGCCAGGGCACCATTTTTTAAATTAAGTCATTTATAACATTTAAAGCTGGAGGAAGGCAGGATTTTACAAGTCATGGCTTTCCTCTGCTCACACAACATGTATAAATGGATTTCTTTTACTCTCTGACAAAGCTACTAAAGGAAAAAATATGCAGACAATGCCTTTTGAACTATATACCCACGCATGTAACCACAATACCTTTTGAACTACACACAAAACTTCATTCAGTATATTCCTCACAGACAGAAACCAAGAAAGTTTAAAGCTCACAGTATCTGAAACAGCACGTGGCCTGCAAAGGCACTTTAATTTTCATAAGTATTTGAGTAGGGAATGCCTTTTTCTTGTGGCACACTGAATCCCATAAAGCTTTGCCACAAGAACAAATCTGCTGCATGTAGTTTATGAGTACTTTTGTATCAATCTCTACTACCAAGACAGAATCAGACTATTTTTGAAGGTAGTGCTCTCAGGTATATATGAAGAAATTAAATGCCTCTGCTGTCCATTAGTATTGATGTATGGAATTCAACTATTGTGCTGGTTCTATGGAAAAGAATGGTCTCCATCTAAGCCAGGTATTTTGCAAAGTACTTATAACATCTTGTCGATGTCTGGACTGCAAATCATTTTACTGTAATTATAATCCTAAATGTAACATCTAAAAACCTGGCTATAAGAGGAAAATCTAGCTTCATCACAGTTATGTGCAGACACTTAGATCAGCACATTCTGCTTAATATAAACTCAATTTTTAATTGAAACCAAAGTTAGTTTAATAAACACACACTCTTGGTTTCAAAGTTAGTTTAATAAATATACACTCTTGGTTTCAAAGAACAATCTTCTTGAAAGGAATTGTTTAAATGAAGTACCTTTACATATATTGGTAAGTAAGTTAAACAAAATAAATAACTATACACTGTACACTCTTAATCAATTCAGACTTCTCAACAAAAACAGTAAATAGTCTCAGCTGCCCCTAAAAGAAAGTGTGAATGAATGTAAATAGTTCAGGCAGGTGTTTGACCTTGAATCTTCAAAAGTACCTACCTCGGAAATGTTTTTGTCAGTCTCTTTTCTTTTTTCTTCTAATTTCCTTTCAATACCAACAATTCCTACAGCCCTTATTCTTCCTGCCTAAAAAAAAAAAAAAAAAAAAAAAAAAAAAAAAAAAGGGAAAGAGTCAGAATAGGAAATGCTAAGTTTTCTCATTTGCCTCACTGTGAAAATTAGAGGACCGGAAATGCTTCCCCAAACAGCAGATATCATTGATACAATATTTCATGCATTTCTTAACAGTAATTTTCAAACCATTGTTAAAAAATAAGAAATGTGAACCATGTATGAATTTGCTGTACTAGACCAGTAATGATATTGATAGTATATTTGAAGCTTTAAATATGGCTTAATATCCAGACTAAGTACTCCAGCTCATCTCAATTCCAGCCTCTCAAGTCCATGTGAACATCCATACTAGAGCTGTGGAAATGCCTGAGTGCATAACTTCAAGAAAACCAGCCTGAAGGAACAGAAACATAGCAACATAATGCTAAGTACAGTCTAATTTACCTATCTCAGAGGTATTAGAATGTGGGAGATGGTGAAACTTTTACCAGATGCCAAATGTGCTCTAGAAAGGTTGGCACCTGTGGCAGCAGTGCCAGGCCTCTCACCTCTGACTGCAAAGCTTAGCATTGGTGTTAAAGAGTTGCTCTGACTTAAGGAGAGGCAAGGCATTTTGATTAGAGTCTTCATGCATTACTCCAAATGCAGCTGTCCCTGCAGGTACTACATTTACCACAGGGGACACATATGATTTCATATTGAACAATCTTTAAATCATTCTATTTCACTCATTCAATACTATATATTCAGCACATTAACATATAGAAACAACGCCTAGATGTTTATCAGAGTTAATAACTTAGAAATATGTAGGCAGATAGATGTTATCTAACATATGACATTCTACCTAACAGCTGTCCATGTAGAATACCCATTTAAATCAAACATGTATTGGTTTTAAAGAGCTATATAAAAGTCATATGTTATATTGACTTCCAGCCACAAAATACACCAGAAACCACAATAAAGACAAAAAGTTTTCCAGCTTCACTGGACCTCACATGCTGAATAAAAGTATATGCAAATAAATATTGTATTTTCACAATTATGTGTGTTTGTGTCTAACTAAAACAAACAAAAAAAAAGGAGCTCATTATCTAAGCATACTCAAGAAAGAGAGGCTACTGTGTTCTATCAGATGAACAATGTAAAGGACAAACTAATTTATGCCAGTGAAAAACCAGGCAAACTAAAGCTGAATTCCTGCACACGCCCATGATGTTGGTTAGAGTCACATGCTGGATGTGTTATATGGGGGTGGCAAGAAGTGGCAGTAAGAGATTACACACAGATCCTGCTCAGAAGCTCTGCACACACCTTTGAATCCTTGTTAACTTGCATGGCCTGACCAGTGGGCAAGCTCTCCCATCTCCTCTGTGTGATTTCTTCTGATAATCGTCTGTAGAACTGCAAACATTAAAGAGTGACAACAGATGTTTCATGAACTGTGCAGAGTACCTCTGTGTATTTTTAGCATCTTGGTGATGAAATAAACTTCACAATGCACGGAGACAAAACATGATAACACCTACACAACTCATTATATGGAAATTCTTAATGTCCAGCCTTCAAAAGCATCACATTAGAAGAGAAGCCATGAAGTCACTAAGTACTTCCATTGTAAAATATTTCTTCAGATTTTCAAAATGTCCCAAGCCATGTTAAATGTTGAGGTATACTCAAAGGCATGTTTTTAAAGGAAGGAAAGCTGAGCAATCCAATTGCTATTGATCTGCTAATTCAACAATATAAAAACAACCACAGAGATCAATGACACCAATTTGTTTATTACTAATACCAGAAGGTGGCATAAGGTAACACTGTGTCCCACTGACCAATATGCAGAAAGAAAATCTATTCCACCCTTTTCATTGTTCAGGTTCACAGAAAAGCATTCTGAAGTCATAACGAAAGGCTGGGGTTTAATTGATGTGCTAGGCAATCAGTAAGCAGAGTAAGTTTGATTTTCAGACACAACATTAAAATAAATATGGTTATGATTGTGAAAAACACACATTTATACTATGCATAAACCTACAATCATCATAATCTGAAAACTGCTCACCAAGGAATGAAAGTGAGTCTGATCAAGCACATGAATTTTAAGACATTTCTAACTAATTTGAGTTGCAAATCTTATTTTCTGCAGTGAACAGGTACAGCTTTTTCCACAGCGCAAAGTTCAAGTTCTCAGTCTTGTCAAATGAGGATCTTCCACCGTGAAATTTCTTTGCAGAGTGCAACTTCCTAGGTTTTTAGGATGAGCTTTCTTTTAAGAATATATTACATTTTTCTCAGAATGCTCAAAGCCTTTGGGATTTGGTATAGGTTAAAAAAAAATTATACAGTGTAAAGTGAACAAAAGTTCTGAGGAAAGGTGTTCAACAATTAAATTAGAGAGAAAATTAGTAATGAGTTGTGTGATGCCTGTTTAATAGAGGGTTAGGTAAAGAGAAATATCTTTTACTCTGTTAAACATTTAACAGATTTCAGAGATGTCATTTTGGAAAATCCTGTGTTCAATTTAGTAGATTAGCAAAGGAAATATAAGATTACACTAAACACCCTAAAATAAGGACTAGCCTAGTAATGCCTCTTGACATTTCTGGAACTCTATTTGCAGTATTTAATGAAAGTATAGAACATGGGAGGCCCATAGCGTTTGTCTCCCAAAAGGATGTATTGACAAAGCTCCACCTCAAAAGTAAGCATGGAAAGATAATGGGAAATTATCACTAACACAGCAAGAGGAGAAAAGTATGTCCAAAGACCTGATTGTGCTTGGCATCCATGGTACAAACTTACCTCAATCTGACCATGTTCTTTGAAAGAAAGCTTGACATAGGAATATTTGCTGCTTTGGAATGGACCAGGCTCTTTGTTTGAAGAAGCAGGATGAAGATGAACTACTATTTTGGCACTATGGAAAAGGAAAGAGAGGATATTTCTGTAATATTTAAATAAACTATTTCTGCATCAAAGTTAACCATTTCATCAAAATCTCTATTAACTATCTCACGTAAGAGCTAAAGATAATCAAAGAATGCTCATATTTATGCATCAACATTTAAATATTTTGATGAAGTAGATCTTGCATAAAAACTACAACAGCCCCTAAAGCAAAAACATTTTACAAATTCAAAATGTACCTATCATCAATCCTTTAGAAATGAACATAATAGATTTTAAAAATTCAAGCAGTAATTTCCAAAAAAACTTTTAGTTAGGATAAAAACTGACTATCAAGTTGTAATTTAATTTGGCATTAGTTACTGCACGTCAAAAGCCAAAATATGTTTTTTCCTGTTTGACACAGGAAAACAAAAGGTGTCAATATTATGTGTAACCTATTTGACTTCTATATGTCACTTGTGGACACTGTGTGTGAACTTATCCAAAACCAACATTCAAAGCCAACATGCATGAAAATAACAGTCTAAAAGGACACCTACTACCAAAACAAACCTTGGGAGAGCATGATTTTAGGAAAATTAACAGACTGCTATCACACCATGACTGCAAGTCCTCCATTCCCATCTCATTTTACTGATAAATCTTTGCACTGGTCTTTACTTACCTCTCCAGCATTAATGAATAAACTGATTTCTTCTGAATACCTCCAGCTTACTACCTTGCCAATCTGACAATTGTGTATATATTTCTCCAGCCAAAATTTTTTCTCTCTTTAGAAACTTAAAATCATAGAATTGTTTATGCCAGAAAGGACCTCTAAAATCATAAGTAGTGATTACAAGGCAGTTAGTTAACAAATTACATCAGTCATGACTCTCTTGCACATTTTACATCCCTCAGTGTTCCTTGTGACTGTCAGGATGGAAAATTAAGATTGCACATGGAACCTATCATGGATTAATCTATAATACTGGGTACCTCACATAAGATGCATGTGAAAGGATCCATCTGAAAAAGACAATGAGGATGGCCATACCTCTTTCCTATCCCAGCTGCTTGCTCTTCAATAAATACAATCTGAGACAGAGGTACAGCAATGCAGCACTCCTGCAATAAACACCACAAACACAGGTGAATTAAATCATATCCTGTTTATTCACTCTCTAAACCCAAGTGTTCTCTTTCTCCATTTCACAAACAGTATGGATATCTACAGGTGCTGCCTGAAGCACTTTATGTGAAATGCGATGGTAACAACAGAAACCATGTATTACAGTGAAATATATGTAGAAAAATAACAAAAAAAACCCCCAAACCCAACAACTGAGTTCTAGTTAATTAAAAAACCTCAACAAACTTAAGTGTCAATGTGTCAACTTTAAAAACCTCAAGATAGATTCATAGACGAGACTATGAAATTAAAAGAATCTTTAGATCTCAGGTCAAAATTTAAAGACTAAAATACTGCACCTCATCTCTGCAGGTGTACAATACTCACAGGTTCTTGACATTTTTGCACTGATGTTACTTTGAGAGCTAAAAAAACATCCAAACCAATCGTTCTTTTTAAATGCTGAATATCTAAAATCCACACTATTGTCTGAATGCAATAGGAATTTTTCCATCCATCCTACAGTGAAGGAGTGCTTAATCCAGCACTTGATGCATCTCACCACACATTTATTGGACTGTGCCTTAAACCAAACAAAGAGCAAGAAACAAGGCTGTATCCATCTATTGGAAACTAAACTATCCCAGGCTAAACTCTTTCCACTTGCATTTGAGACAGAAGTTGCTATGGGAATGATTCAAAACATCTAATAAGGTGCCTGGTCTTGTTTTGGTGAACATCCTTTGAGGAACATCATCTCCCACACAACACCTTGGTGAGTGACAGTCACACAGAATGCAGGAAACACAGGCTGCATTCCCTCTCTGAACTTCTTTCTTCCACCTGCCACTTCTAGCACCAGTTTACAATAGACACTGTTAGAGGGCCCTCTCAATCCCTACTACCAAAACTGTTCCTCTTTGTATGGAGTAATTAAATACCGATTAAATTTGAGAGCAGGGAAGTATACATGCAGGAACTCCAACTAATAAGTAAATGTCTTATTGGGAAACAACCTGGGTTATACTTCCTTTTCTAAAAACTCTTAATGCAAGCTATCTAGGATCTTCTATGACTCTAGTTTCTGAAGCCATTACAAACAGTTAATAAACAGTTTGTAAAACAGCCACAAGCTTCTGGACACTTTAAAAGATAGGCAAGATGATACTTCTGTTAAAAAAATGTTTTGAAAATGACAAAAAGAGTTCAACTACACATAGTATGTGCACTGTCAAAGTCACTGATTCGTTTAGTTCCAAGACAGAAAGTTATGAACAAATTTTAAGTACAAGGATTTAGAATCAACCTTTCCTGATGTGAGACGCTACAGGAAGAGACACAAAAACAAAACTGTGGTAAATACACGGTGTGTTTATTTAAATTTTGTTTTCCAATGCCTCATGATCACATTATGCATGATTTTATAATTGAAAAATTTGTACAAATCTAGCAATGTAAAAACTTTACAGAATTCCTTTTTTTTTTTTTTTAAACACTGTTTAACTGCAGATGGCATGTAAGAACAGCAGCTATAGGACCTAACTGTCTGTTTCTGTAAGATACATTAACCTAATGACATGTGCCCCATTAAGTATTATACACTGCTGACACAATAAAAAAGGGACTCTCTCTACAAATTTTTTCTAGGTGAGCTAGATAAGGTTTCTAAGTCTGATGTTAAACCACAGCTAAACTCAGACAACAGCTTACCAAGAGAACAAAAGGGCACCATGCTCCCCATGTTTCAGTACTGAGAGCTTGAAAATTAATCAGCTTTATTTACCCACTAACAAAGTTAATTACACCTCCCAACCAGAACTGGGTAATTTTTGCCCATCTCCAGGCCACATTTCTGCCCCTTCTGTTAATCAAGCCTGAGCTTTTCAGAATCTTTGCTGAGTTAAATTAGTTAAAATAAAATTATTTTTCTTCTTCTCCAAGGTTTTCCTCTGCTGATTTAACAAATTTAATGACCTTGGAAGAGTACAAGAAATCACATGGCCTAGGCGCAGATGGAGAAATCAGGGAAAAGAGACAAATGTAATCTTTTTGTTGGAAAGGAGAGCGTGGATTTCAGTTCTAAGACTTGATGAAGCCATAATGCCCAATGTTACTGCAAGCATGCAAAAAGTCCAAGTGAGAAGATTAGATACAGTGGCTGCTGCAGTGCAGGCTCAGCTCTCAAAAAGCAATGCTGATTAAGAAATATAAAGTGATAAACACAGATTTTAGCACATTATCTCATGTTATAATGCGATGGCTGTGCAAGAAAGCCCCATGTTAATTTACACAGAGCAGCTCATGCTCTGGACAATCAAGCCCTAATTTGTGTAACAGTAAATCCACCATGGGTAACAGCTCTTTTAAACATTTTGAAAAAATGTGTATTAAAAATAGGTCTACAGTTCCTGCAAAGAATCCCTAAAGAAAAAGTGACACTACTCTGCCAAATTAAGAAGATCCTTGGTGACACTGCCTTCAGAGTGCTCTTAGTAGCTCCCTGCTTTGAAGCAAGGATGTGGTATCTGCTAGGGGTCAGCCTTTGAATGTGAGAGGTGCTTCGGCTGCCTGTGCACAAAGGCAATTCCAGTGGAATAAAATTTGCTTTTGAAAAGCTGTCACCTGAACGTGCTCCATCTAAACTTTGACTTCCAGGGTTAAAATTATCAATTATTGTGTCCAACTCAAGCATAATCCAGCCAGGTCTGGGAAAGACTTCTCCTCCAACTGAATCATCTGTGGAGTGGTGCCCATTGTCACAGTCTATGCTTGGAGCTTTTTGTGTTTGTGGTCTCTTTCTCCCAGTTCCAGCCTGCATTCCTAGGCTGTGGGTGATGGCACAAAGCATTCAGCAGCTTTACTGCAGTTACCACACTGTAGTTCTGGCAGGGCCATTTAACCTGTGACCAGCTCTCCACAGCAGTACAGTAAAAGTTCTGGCTGATTTAAGGGCTGGTTCATGGCAGAACAGGCAGCTGGGAGGGCAACATGTGTGCAAAACAACACCACCACCAAACACATCCTATTATCAAATCATGGTCTGGGACTATGTCATGGGAGCACAATATATGATGGGGCTTGGACTTGAAACCAACAAGAAAGAAAAGGCTTTCCTAGACAAGGAGCACAGGAGAGAACTTCATATTATGATTTGCCTGACACATTCAATTTCAGTTTCAAAACCAGTATTTTTTAGTGCGCGACACCAGGCTCTTTTCTCCTTTATTTCTGTGCAGTCAAAAAGAAAATTTTATAGGATACATTCCTATCCCTCCTCATGTCTGCATGATTATTTTATTAAACCAGGACTGGATGAAAGAACACTACACAATCTTTCTGTTGAGAGCCAAAAAGTGGACTATACTTGTAAAACAAAACACATATAAAGGCAGGAATAATCCCCTCTCTGTGTACAGGCTTTTCATTGCATGCTACTTGTTTATTAGGAAATGTACAACTGAATGGTTGGGACTTACATGATTCTTCTGATCCCTCCAGATCAGTCTGTGTGTGCTCAGCAGTAAAACTCCACTATCAAATTTCACCTGGGCAGGAAAAATAAAACAGATCAACACATTGAACCAGTAAGTTACATAAATACTGGTCTTGGAAACATTACACCTTACCACAACCGAGCAATCACATTTAACAAGCCAGTATTTTGAGAACACTCCCTTTTTTCCAGAAAACAAAATACATAAAGTTTAGGAAACAATGGAGAAAAATAGTATAAAAGGATTTGATGGATAAACACAAACTTCCTTTTTCAACTGTATAAACTTTCCCCTCGGAAATCCTGAGGGATTCTCCCTCCATATAATCTGCAAGATATACTAAAGTTCCTAAATGTATTTTAAACAGGGCTATTGGCTTTGGAACATTCCCTGTATGCTGACAAAGAAGGTAGAAGCTATGCAAAAAAGCAAAGTAACCTAATAAAAAGATGCTGCACACAGTCTGAAATCTTCCATCCTATCACATAGGAGTATTGCTTCTATCTGTGCTGCTGTTGAAAAGCTCTTTACTTATCAGACAGCAAACAGTACCTGGAAAATCTGCATTAGCAAATCGCTTCCTACTTGTAAAATCGGAGGCACGTGTTCACAGCTTTTTGTGAGGGCATGCAATTACCATGGTGTAGAAAAATGGAGAGACCAAGACTCAGTCCTGCAGTGAAGTGAAGCCATAAGCAGCACGGCTCAGAAAAGAGGAGAGGGCATGTTAGCACCCAGGATGGCTCACGTGTGCATTGTGCATCCTGCCCTGTTCCGCACCAAAGCTCAGCCCTGCACAGGAGTGACAGCCCGAGCACAGTGACACTGCCTACACACACCCTGTGGGGTTCCAACCCTCACCCCATGTCACACACTCTGTCCAAGGCCTTTCACACAGAATCACAGAATGAATTAAGTTGGAAAAGTTCTCTGAGATCATCGGGTCCAACCTATGACCCAAAATCCCCGTGTCAACCAGACCATGGCCTTGAACGCCATGTCCAGTCCTTCCTTAAACAGCTCCAAGGATGGTGACTCCACCACCTCCCAGGGCAGTCTATTCCAATGTCTAATAACCCCTTCTGTCACGAAATTCTTCCTAATGGCCAATCTAAACTTTCCCTAGCACAGCTTAATGCTACTTCCTCTTTTCCTGTCACTTGTTGCCTGGAAGAAAAGGCCGACCCTGACTTGGCTCCACCCTTCTTTCAGGCAGCTGCAGAGAGCAGTGAAGTCCCCCCAGAGCCTGCTCTTCTCCAGGCTAAACAATCCCAGCCCCTTCTGGACTTGTGCTCCAGACCCTTCCCCAGCTCCGCTCCAGCACCTCGCTGTCTGTCCGGAGCTAAGGGGCCCGGAACTGAACACAGGATTCGGGGCGCGGCCTCACCAGTGGGGAGCACAGGAGGACAATCCTTGCCCTGGTCCTGCTTTCCACACTATGGCTGATACAGGCCAGGATGCCATTGGGCTACCTGGGCACACTGCTGGCTCACGTTCAGCCGCTGTCGACCAGCACAGCCCCTCGAAGCCTGCAACTCCGCCCTAATCTCCCCAAAGATACAAACCCTGCCAGACCCTGGCGCAGAACGTCCTCCCACACCCCCGCTCAATGCTCCGCCTGCAGCCCAAGCCCTTCACACACTTTGCATCGCGCCTTTAGCCCAACACGGCCCGCACTCACAGCCCTGCCGCCCCCCTTGCCTAGGGCCCGCCGCCGCGTCCTTTACCCTCCTCCCCGCCCCGGCCGCACCGCCAGGCCCCACGCGGAGCGGCTCCAGCTCCCGTCACCTTCTCCTCTCCGTCGCTAAGGCGGACGCCGCGCTGCTGGATCACCAGCGTCTCTCCCAGCTCCAGCAGCCCGGTGGTCCACGAGAACCTGTCCATGGCCGCCCTTCCCCTCCCGCACCGGGCCGCGGCCGCTGGGCGTGCAGGAACCGTGCGCGGCTGACCCACGCCCTCTAGCGGCGGCGCGGGGAGCGGCCGCCATGTTCTGCCCCGGGGAGCGGCGGCAGGGCGGCGCCGCTCGCCATTGGCCAGTTCAAGCGCCGCGGCCGGGCCAATCGGGGCGGCGCCGGGCGATTCAAACGCTCGTTGCGCGGCGGCGGCTATGGCGGCGCGTGCGGCTCCGCAGCTCCCGGCTAGCCGTAGGTCCGAGCCTGCATTCCGCGGTAAGGCGGGGACAGGGACACCTGGGCACCGCGGGGCACGGCTGCTCCCCATCGCGGGCCGCTCGCTCGCTTGCCCGCGCGGGGCTGAGCGTTACCGGCTGCCGTTGCCGGCTCGCGCGTGGCTGCGGCGGGTGCGGGAGAGCCGGTGCGAGAGAGGAGCCGGTCGGTCTCTCCGGGCGGTGGGAGGGCCGGGCAGGCGCTCCAGGCGAGGTCGGAGACAGGACGGGTCTTGGTGGCAGCACTCGCTGTTGTGGTCCTGCAGCTTGCGGGTGGGCGTACGAGACTTCACCCTCCTTTTGCAGGGCTGGGGCCGGTACGGATCCCATCCCATCTCATCGTATCCCCTGCCCCAGGTAAGCTCCTGGGCTGGGAACCTTCCCTCATGACAAACGGGACGCCCTGGCGTTAAGCGCATCCTCTTGAACGCAGCCAGCGCGGCGCCGACCTAGCCCTGGCGCTCCTGTGCTTATTTACTTTCTGACTGGTTCGGCTGCTGCAGGTTGAAGCAGGGGAGCCGCCTTGGTGGGGCTCTGCTGTTCGTGCGAGGGCGGTGAGAGCCGTGTTTGAAGCAGAAGGTGCTGGGAAGCTCTGGGATGCACGCCGAGCTTGCTGGCAGTGGCAGCGCTGCTATACGAGCTGTGCTATCTCCTTCAGAAGCAGGGGATGGACACCGCCTTCTGGAGCTTTGCCCAGAGAAGGGCAGGGAGGTGGGGAAGGGTCTGCAGCACCAGCCCTGTGAGGAGCGGCTGAGGGAGCGGGGGGGTGTTTAGCTTGGAGAAAAGGAGGCTTGGGGAAATCTTATCCCTCTCTACAACTGCCTGAAAGCGGGGTGGAGCCAGCTGGGGACCGGCCTCTTCTCCCCGGTGACACAGCACAAGAGGACAGTCTCAAGCTGTGCCAGGGGAGGTTTAGGTTGGTCATGAGGAGGAATTTCTTGACAGAAGGAGTGGTGAGGCATGGGAATGAACTGTCCCGGGAGATGGTGGAGTCACTATCTCTGCAGGGACAGTGACAGCTGTTCTTTTCAGGATCACTTCATGCTGGTATTAACACTCCCAGTAGTCCAGCATTTGCACAGATGTCCAAGTGACAGTGGAAGAGAAGCAAACGATTTTACAGCTGGTCAGTTGGGTTCATGTGCATGATGCTTTTCATGTGTGCTATCCTTGCTACTGCCACAAATGAAAAGTGTGCTTGCTGAACCAACTGTGTGAAATACTGGACAGGCATACAGGAGACAGCAAGCCTGACTTCATGTTATAAAATTGTGTTTCTTTTAGCTTAACACAGCAAAGCAGCCAATTTTGTGCAGCTGTGAAGTTACATTCAACCATCCCCTGAATGCTCCCTTTCTCAAGAAATGTGAGAATGTGTAAGCCATTGAGATGTGAAAATTAAGGCTTTCTTAATCTGTAGTATCTATATTTTGTAATGTCTTGATGCTTTTCTAACTTAATTTCCTTCTTGACTACGAAAGTTTAGCTTAATATTTTAGCTGAAAATGTAACAAGTCTGTCTGTCTTAAAATTTGTTAGAACAAAGACGACAGAAAGTCCAGGAGTATCTATCAAGAAAGAAGACTTTTTCTGGTGTGACCATTCAAGAAAAGCAGACATCGATCAGGTAGTGTTTCTGCTATGGCTTATATTCTCTTATGTTCATATTCACTAATGTTCCTTCATTTTCATCTCAGCTGGCTTCTGTATGTCCTCTGATGCAAAGATACCCCTTGCTAACTAGAATGTTCATTTTCAGCCACATGCAGTAGTACCATGTCTTTTATATAACCTATCACAAAGCACCTGAGGAAGAATTTGGATTTGTAACTTTAAATTGAGATGTTTTTCTTCTGAGTTGTCAATATATTTTTTCATAGTTGCTAGGAGACAATACTGCTTTCAGTGGTTTTGTAACTTTCTGGGTTACACCAGAGCTGGTTTCTGCTGCCATCTCTGGTGCCTGACTGAAGGTTTTGGAACCTGTCAGTGTGGTAGGAACTACGTGTCCTTGTTCAGTCTTGTCTCAGACAGCCTGGGCTCTCATGATTGCAGTAGCTGAACTTCAGCTTCTTGTGCTACTCCTCCTTTCCTCTCAACTGCAGCGTTTAGAAACTTGACCTTCTGTAGCAGATGCACCAGACCAGACAAACTGGTACTCATTTTCAAACATGAGAAATTGCACTTGCAGTAAATTCCAATCTTTATGATGTAAGAAGGATGTTTTCTAGCCTGGGTTCTGATCAGCGGTTGCTTAACCACTTGTTTTTGCTGGAGGAATAGTGGGAGCTAATCAGAATTGCTTCAGTATGAGTACATTCTGCAGGGTACCAACTGAACCGTGAACATCCTCTAAAAATACATCCCTTTGCTGCATGATTTAAGATGTCTTTTTTTTTTTTTTTTCTAAGCAGTAGCAGAACTAGGAGAGCAACTACCAGTAAACTGCAAGAGAAGTTACAGCTCTCAACATCTCCCAAGCCAGAAATGGTAAGTTTTTGACTGATACTTAAATACTGATGGCATTTTGTTTCTATGGCTACAACATTCCACGAGATAAGTCTATGTTGTATGACTCCCAGAGCATGAGAAGTTTGCAGGTGCAGAGGTGTGGTTTGGTAGAACTTTATTTAGTCACTGCTTATTATATGCTTTTTGGAAAGCTGCCATATTACAGTAGGAAATGGATTATATTGATGTTCAGTTTGTGCCCAGTGGGAGAGAGTTAAAGAGGATGCCATTATTGCTGAAATAATGCTTACATTTTAACAATATTTTTTAAGAATCTTAGAGGGGTTTTTGATACATTTTGAGTCTTTGGGGAAGTCATTTAAAATCTGAGTAAGGTCTTCTGTCCCAGTAAATAAGTTTATTGTCACTTGAAAAAAAGGCCAAACCATTAACAAAACAAACTGTTGAGTGTGTATGTTTTTTCAGTGGTGTGCTGGCAAAACTAAGGTAATCAGAAATAGATGCCAATACCTACTCAGAGTTTAAGGGAACATGTTCCATGTTCCATTTCATGTCACTTTCCTGGAATTAAGATGCAAATGGTTGTGTTGCTTATAAATAGCAAAACAGAGATTCTCCAGACCTATTCTCAGGGAAAGGTGAGGAGAAAATAGGCATAAGAGCTGTATTCATGTTAAATGGTTTAAAGTTGGGTTTCAGAAGATTTGAGATGTGGAGTTCTTTGAGGAGAAAAATAAAAAACTTAAAACTTCAAAACTGAATGTTGAGGAGAAAAATTGCAGAAGTGAGAACAAGTGGTTTTTTAGAAATTTCCTGAAGGTACATATCTTTCTGTATAAATGTCCTGTATCATTTAAAGCTGAGTTAAGCTACATAATTTCCTGAAACAACAGTCCTCACACTCAAACTCTAGTCTATCAAATCTAACTACTAAGCCTCCATGACAGAGCAGGAAATGAGTTTTCTTATAGGTCAGGAGCATCTTCGTTAAAGTCTGCTCATGCAGACTTGTGTGTCATTCACATGGTTTTTTTTCTTGCCTTTGGATATTTCACTCTTGCAAAAGCTGCTGCTTGGACAATGCTGAATTAGTTGCTGTAGAGCAACTTTTTTTGGAAGAAAAGCCTAGATTCCACTTTTCCTAAGGGGTTGTGCTGAAAACATACAGCTGATAGTTTCAGTAAAGCTGTGCAAAACTGATGTAACCATTCTCAAGTTGCAGCATCCTGCATCTCCATAGTAAGAAAAGTTCTCTTCTGTTGACATCTCCTAGTGTCCTAATTACTACTTTACTCATTACCTTCTGCTAGTAGACTATTCACACTAAGTGGAGGAATGGTGCTGCCATTAAGTGATGAGGTAGGGAAACAGCGATACTGCTCTTGATTATATACAACCTAAAGCAAGTTTCTGCTTTATAATTCTTCTAAGGAGATAATTTGGGCAGTTTAAAGCCACCAGTTGCTTTAAGAGGTTTTTTTCTTACTTCCAAGGCAGAATTTAAGCAATTTTTTATTTTTGATGTGAATTCTGCAGTAATAGTTGACAAATAATCTACTCAATAGTTATACGTTACTTCTGTAGGCACCTTTAAACTGGCATTTATGGTTAAGCACTTCAGTCCTGTGAATCATTGGAAGCCTCTTTGGGAACAAGTAACATGCAGCATGAACATACATCTAACATTTCCATGAATTTGCTTTTGATTTCAGGAAAATAAAGAGAATGCTGATAAAGAGTCATGGGACCAATCAAGTGTAAACTCAGAAACAAATGTTGCTTTAAACTCTTCTACAGTCCCACTGACAAGTTACATGGCAGGGACAAACTGTAATCTTGAAAATCAAGCTCCACAGAATAAAGTAATTGACATAAAATCTCAGCATCTATCTCTTAGCAAGGCCATCTTGGAAATCAAAAGAATTAAAGAGAGGCATTTGACAGCAGAAAAACAAAATGCAAGTATCAGCGTACCAAAGAAACCAGCTCTTGGCAGATATCGTGGCAAAGTTATCCCATCCAAGATAAATTCTTTCTGGAAAGCAGCAAAAGATGAAGGGGAAAAGAGTTCTTTGCCAGACAAGAAGCCTTTTCCTTCTGCCACCAAACAA